TATATATATATCATCTCTGCATTTCCCCAAATTTTTACGCTTTAAAGACCCTGCAAATACCTGCTGATGTGCCAGCAACTCCTAATTTTTACAGACTTTTTGTGGAATTTTTTAGGTTCATCCCTGCCCAATTGTCTTTTGCTTAACTACTGTATCTTCCCCACTGTTCTCTACACTATACACTATACACACTATACACTATATAAATGTTCCGTAGTCCAAGATAAGGTGTGGGAGGGCTAATTAGTGCCCTTGAGATTACACATCTAGTGTGGAAAGGGCAGTTCTGAATTGTTAACATGATTAACAGGTATTTTTTTTCTTTTATGAACGGGTATAACAAAAGGAAGTAAATAAGAGAAGTTCATTGTTAGTGATTACATACACTTTAACAAAGACACAGAGCGCATTTAAAATCTGGCAGGCGGTCTCTCCCTTCCCCACATCATTAACATAACAAAAACGTTAAGCTGGGCTTTAAAGTACAGGATACCCAACATTTTATCCAGTTCTGTGGTGCACTGGGTGGACTAGAAGCTCTATAGAAATAGAAGGGAGAACTGAGTTGAGCTTAAACTTGTTGTCAAATACAATTGAAGAGATGGGGTTCATAGCTAAACCAAATCTGTCTGACTAGCTCCTGAGAAAGAGGATGTGGCAGGAAGAATATTTTCGGTGGTTTATGGAGTAATGAGACAGTTTCAAACTTATAGGCCATTACAGAAAAATGTAGAACAGCTGCCTCTAGTGAAAATCACTCTTTTAGCAGGTGGGACACTGCTGGGCTCAAGATTTCTATGAAGAGCTGCTTTATGGGAAATATACTCCCTCTAATGTCAGCTATCAGTTGCAGATAACACAGCGTGCATGCTTAAACACTTTGTATGGGATTGTCTTGGTTTACGTGGATATTTTGAAGAAACCCTCCTAGCTAGATGCTGGCAGTAGTTGGAAAAAGGTTGGCAGGTAGGCAGATGAAAAAGGTTGGAAACACTGTGCTATGGAATTCTGCCGCATGGGCTCTCTGAATGTTAATGTACACCTGTTATTTGGCCTTGTAGAGTAATTCAACAGGCTCTCTTTAAATGTAGACCTCCTAACAGCTTAGATTTGAAGGATGTCACCAGTAGTGATGGGCTCAGCCGTGTTTCGCAGCTCCACAAGCCGAGCCCACCAGGAAGCTGACAACGCGCAGCGCCAATCACAGGCACTGAGACATTTCCCGATCTCTGCAGCTGCGGACCAGGAACATGTCTCAGTACCTGTGATTGGCGCTGCGGTGCTGTCAGCTTCCTGGCGGGCTCGGCACATGGAGCTGCGACCACGCCCGAGCCCATCACTAGTCACCAGCACACCAAGCTGTTTGTGTTCAACAAACGTCCATTTTAATAACAAGTATGTATTGACGAGCCTGATAAAGGGGACCCTGCGAGTACTTGCAATTGAATGACATTTTTTGAACACAAACAGCTTGGTGTGCTGGTGACATCCTTCAAATCACTACAAGCACCCACCTGTATTTATTACAGAAATCCGGTAAAGAGTGCAGCAAGGCATATATACTTTTTGCATCTCCTGACAGCTTAGACGCACCTTCCTTTCATTTCCCAGACACCATGCTCAGCCACTAAGAGCAAACAATGAAAGCCATGTGTAAGCTTCTAGGCACAACTTGGAGCTCACACCTGGCTGAGGCTTGTCTCCCCATCCCTTTATGACAGCAACCAATCATAAAGCACCAGCACTGTCATATGAGAGTCAGAGGAGAGAGTCTCCTGCTTCCACATACCTCTTGCTTTACATGCACAGGCAAATCACCGGTTCATTAATTGCAAAAATTACTTTCTTAACCCATTTTTAGGTATTAACTTTCTTTATACATTTAACATTTCTTTCTAATGTTTTATTGATGTGAGTCCAGGATTTAAAGCCCTATTTTACCCAGCATTAAAAGTCCATTTTGGTTGAGGTCTGGAGTTTAAAACACATGCCAGCTACTGACCAGTATTTGAAAAGGAGCAGCTAGGTGACAGTATATGTTGGTAGAAGCAGACCTATTGCCAGGCAAGTTTTCACTTTGTTCTGCAAGGTTAAGGTGACAGCGACTCTTTAAAGTATATTTAAACTTTTTTATTTCACTAGGATAGAGTAGTGAATGGTTAAAATCCATGTCAGAGCCTTCCATTGGAAAAGTAGTCTACGTTCTGCAACGTTATTTCCCCAAAAAATGAGGTCAGCTGCCTACCTGAATATACTGAATGACCAGGTGTTTCCATCAATAGAATTTTCCTTCCCTGATGGCACATTGAGCGTATTCCA